CAAGTTAGTGTTTGCACTTTACAAGTAGATAAAAAAAAGAGACCACAATTAACAGTCCCCCTAGAATGCTGAAGAACATGATAACATTGACTACTGGGCGACCACGCTCAGGGTGGAGTCTGCTTGTCCCTCTCCCTCTGTTCCTTCCCCCACTCACTCTCTCTCTCTCTCAAATAAGTAAAATCTTAAAAAAAAAAAAAAAAAGCTGAGATCAAGAGCCGAATGCTTAAGCAACTGAGCCACCCAGGTGCCCTCACCCCCCATCACTCTTGTATCACTGTCTTTAATTACTTTATACCTAGCACTGGTCACTAGTTAAAATGGTTGGCTTCTGTATTTGCCCATGTTTTCCACAACAGTGTAAGCTCAGTGAGAACAGGTGCATTGTCTGTCTTGTTTACAGGTTTGTCCTTAGAGCTCAGCACAGTCTCTGGAGCTTGGGTCCTTTGGGATTCTGATGTTTAGTGTAGACATTTTTCACCACAACATTCCAGCTTTGGGTATTGGTAGTTAAGTTTTTTTTTTTTTAATTTTATTTATTTATTTGAGAGAATGAGAGAGAGAGAGAGACAGAGCATGAGAGGGGGTTGGGTCAGAGGGAGAAGCAGACTCCCTGCCGAGCAGGGAGCCCGATGCGGGACTCGATCCCGGGACTCCGGGATCATGACCTGAGCCGAAGGCAGTCGCCTAACCAACTGAGCCACCCAGGCGCCTGGTAGTTGTTAAGTTTTAATACCTCCATAGCTATAAAGTTTGAAGTAGAGTTTCGAAGTCATTGGTCATAACATTCCCCCACCCAAGCAGTCCTTCTCTGTCTTTTGCATTTATCTTGCTGCCCTGTGTCATCAGGTTGAAGATAACTTTTCATTATCTCACCGAAGGACGATGATCAGTTTCTCTTCCCTGTCAGATTGCAAGCAGGCATTACCTCTGTATGCCTCAGATAAAAAGCACATAGTCAGCACTCAGCAAGTATTTACGGTTATCAGTGTCTTTTGTGGAATACTCATGAGGGTTGAATAAATGATCAAGCAAAGCCACATTTATTTTTAAACGTTTTTTTGTTTTTAAGATTTTATTTAGAGAGTGCATATGCCCATGCTAGTGGGAGGAGGGTTAGAGGGAGAAAGAGAATCTCCATCTCAAGGTAGTTGCCTTTGTTACCTTCATTCTACAGTTGGGTAGACTGAGGCACAGGGAGGTTAATTTGCCTAAGGTCACAAAGCTAATAATAAGCAGAGCTGGGACTTGAACCCAGTTCCTCGCAGAGCCCACTCTTAACCATCATGCCATGTGCCTCTCTTATCTGCCACTGTGTATTGAAATATAAACAATTATTTGAATGTAGACTCTCCGCAGCGTCTCACTGTACCGTAGTCTCTAACTTTTGGACTTAGTTAAGTATTCTGTCTCTGTTATCTTGGTGATCTGTTTTCATATTGTCAAGAGCCAGCTGAAGGAGAGGCCCTTTTTTGGCTTTTGAAAAGAAGTTACTTTATAGACAAGTTAGTGTTTGCACTTTACAAGTAGATAAAAAAAAGAGACCACAATTAACAGTCCCCCTAGAATGCTGAAGAACATGATAACATTGACTACTTTGCCGTCTCTCTGTTCTGGCTTGTTTTGCTTCTGCCTGTTTTGTGTGAGTCAGGCTTTTGGTGGGTGAACCAAGTTCTTTTTTTTTTTTTTTTAAGATTTTATTTATTTGAGAGAGTGCGCGCACGAGAGAGAGAGCACAAGCAGGTGAAGGTCAGAGGGAGAAGCAGATTCCCCGCTGAACAGGGAGCCTGATGCGGGGCTCGATCTCGGGACCCTGGGATCATGTCCTGAGCCGAAGGCAGACGCCCAACAACTGAGCCACCCAGGCGCCCCCAAGTTCACTTTGGAGAGAAGGAATGCTCTTGTCTTGAATCTGCCCCATTTCCTAATCACTAATTTATGCCCTGCAGTGAATTTTGAAGGATGTACCGGTCAACCAAGGACAGCCTATATTGCTGATGACACACGATTCAAAGTGAGCACAGATGGTGTGGTTACAGTCAAGCGGCCTCTTCAACTTCATAAACCAGAGATGAATTTTCTAGTCCATGCCTGGGACTCCAGCCGCAGGAAGCTCTCCACCAGAGTTATACTGAAGGCAGCCGAGAACCACCACCACCACCGCCGTCATGTATGTTGCAGTGTTTCTTGAAAGTTCACTGTTGCTTTAAGTCTGTTGCCTAATCTGGGTGCTCTACCCTTGGCACCTTTCACATTTGGGGCTGGATAGTTTGTTGTTGTTGTTGTGTTGTGATGTTTAGCAGCCTCTCTGGCTTTAGCCCACTAGACAGATACCAGTCGCACTCTCCTAGTCATCACAACCAAAAATGTCTCCAGACATGACCAATGCCAACTGGTGGGCGTGGGGGGTGTTGCGGAATCACCCCCCTAGTTGAGAACCATTGGTCTAATTGAACTAATTCTTGCTGGGAATTTTTTTGCGTTTGGGTGGGGAGGGATCCTGTGGAATGATGGCAAAGTGTTAATATCTTCATTTTCTGTCGGTAATAAAGAATAGTGGGTAAGAGCGTGGACGCTGTCTGGGATTGAATCATAGTCCTACCACTCGCTACCCGAGTAGCTGTGGGAGAGTTCATTTAAGGAATTTCAAGCAGAGAGAGGTTACCTATACCCTCGAGAAAATAATGACTGCATGAATTAATACATGTGAAATGCTTCAACTGTGTTAGGCATGCAGTAAGTACTCAGCAGTTGTTAATTGTCTTCTTCTTGGAGGAAGAATGAACAAGAGATCAATTCTCTGATCATTTTATTTTGCTCTTTTTATTATTTTAATTTAAAATGTAGCTGACATATTTTTCTATCTCCACCCCTCCCCCGCCCCCGTTTTATTTTACTCTTTGTGTTTCTAGTGGGGGGAGGGTCTTGGGATGGGAGGAGAAGAATCAATGGGAAGCTTTTGTTCTGTTAGACTGTAATCCACGCAAGATACTTCCCCGTTGTATTCTTAGTGCGTGGCACACGCCAGGAGCCCTGTAAATATTGAATGGAATGGACAGGAGGGTGAATTGGCCATGAATGAAAGGGTATATGTCTCCCCAGTTCTTGGCAAGAATGTTTCTGGGTCCAAGCCAGACACCTTTGCTAGTTTCTAAACTGTTCCCATGGTGCTTCCTACCAAAACGTCTCCCTGGAGGCCGTTCTAGTCGTATCCCGGTACTGCCTTAAAAATACGGAACATGTTGGAAGTACCAAGGTCTTTCAGGCTGTCTCCTGTTTTTCTGCCCGAAGATTGTTGAGGTTGCAGGAACTTAATAGTCCTGATACATCTATTCTTTTCCCCCTGGTGTAATTGGATAGACCAGAAAAATGAAGAACATAGTAGAAGAGTGTTAACATAACTTCCTGACTCAAGTCTCCGACGGATTCCATTGTTTATGTAAATTCAGCATGGTGAGTTCTTGCTGGACAACTGTGTGGAAGGCTCTTAGGACCACAAAAGACAAGATTTGAGCTTGGTTTTTCAAACTTTTCCTCCCTACTTCTGCCAATTTTGCCTCTGCCTTCATTTTTGTTGTATCATGATTAAGTTCAAACACATAGTTTAGAAAACCGTGAATGACAGTGGTTTATGCAAAAGAGTGTTTCTCTGTCAAGTTAAACTCAAGGGTAAGTTGTAGCTAGTATGGAGACCCCACAGTCATTAGGAGCCCAGGTGTGTGTAACCGATATGCAGGAATGCAATACTGGGAAGGATTCTGTAATGATGTCTTATGTCCATCTTGTGCATTTTTTATAATATATATTACATATTTATTAAGGCAAGGAACTATATAGAAAAAAACATTTGTTCTGCTTAAGGCATACTTGGGAATAAACCATTGTACAAATTATTGCATCTCTGAAACCACAGTGCATAACAGACGGTCTGCATAAAAATGTTAAAGAAGCAAACCAGGTGTATTTACCTGACTTAGGTCATAAATGTAGATCGGAAGACAAAAATAGATTTTCCTTGTCAAAGTATGAAGCAGTTTGAGAACTTTGGCCTCCTCATTTGGTACCTTTAGAACCAAGACTCACCAAGCACCATCGTTTAGGTTATTAAAAACCCATTTTCTGGGGCGCCTGGGTGGCTCAGTTGTTAAGCGTCTGCCTTCGGCTCAGGTCATGATCCCAGGGTCCTGGGATCAAGCCCCACATTGGGCTTCCTGCTCTGCGGGAGGCCTGCTTCTCCCTCTCCCACTCCCCCTGCTTGTGTTCCTTCTCTCCCTGTGTCTCTCTCTGTCAAATAAATAAATAAAATCTTTAAAAAAATAAAAATAAAAACCCATTTTCTGTACCTGAATTTCTTCCTCTTCTTCTAATGTCATAATAATGGGTTTTAGAAGGCAAACAGAATACAAGGTGATCTTTATACTTATATTGCATCTAAACACAGTTCAAGGGAATTCTGGTCTTCCCCACCCCCCAACTCATGGCTCTAATTTATACCCTGATAGCCACACCTTCCAGTCACCCCCTTGGTATTTTGTAAGTCCAGGAATATTCAAGTTGGATTTAGCATTGGAATGACAGAAGATCCACTCACAGACCCCATGGGTTCTTTGATTTGTCTTCTGGTTTCCTTGTGTCTCCTGATTACCAATTCACAAGTTGGGTTTTTGGGAACTTGACCATGATTATAGTGCTTTCTGGCTGGGTTCCTCCCCTCACCGCCTACCCCAGCCCCGGTTGGGGGAGTTGGGGGAGACAGTGTGAAAAGTAAAAAAATAAATCAACACTGAATTCTCTTCTGGCAGGGTGGGCCATATCCACTGTTTTGTGCTTTAACAGTGTCTCTTCATGTGTAAGGCGAGGTGGTCCGACCTGGAGAAGGCCCGGTGGGACTTCTGGCGCTGGAGGGGGTGCGGTTCCCGTTGTGTTTTGCCCTAGTGTCTGGTCAGTTGGTCGGAGCGGGCGCATTTCCACCCATAGCCATCCCAGTCACAGTGGTAGGGCTTCTCACCTCTGTGGGTTCACAGTTGTACCTTGAGGTGAGGATTCTTCGTGGAGGTTTTGCTGCAGCCTGCATAATCACAAGTGTTTGTGGCTGTCCTTTTCCAGGGCCATGACCTTCTCCCCCTCTTTGGTTTGGCATGCAGGAACCAGGGGGCATGAGCTCTTAGTAGTGGAGTGGTGGGACCTGTGGCTGCGTCTGATATGGCCAAGAGGGTGGGTAGTTGGCCCCGGGGGGCGGTTGGGGGGGGGGTAGGACCTGCTGGTCTCTGCTCCTCCGGCAACCAGGGTCGCAACCAGGGTCGGTATAGTCTTGCAGGGGAGCTGCCGCCCCAGGGGGAGGTCGTGAGCCTGGCCGCATTTTAGGCATTTTGGATCAAATCTGAAAAGCCAGGAAATAGTGCTTGAATCGCCTTTCGCAAGCAGTGATCAGTGATTATGTGGGGAGTGGGAGATGGAACTGTCCTCTAGAACCTTCATGTATTACCGCTAATCACTTTAAAGCACTTAAACAATTTGGAGGGTATTTTTCTTCCATCTTCCACTATCTTATTTCCCTGTGTGTGCCTAAAATTATCTTTATCACACATGAAAACTGTTCAATACAAATCTCAAAGGGTGTTTTTGGTTCCCATCCCAACAGCTTCTGTTAGAACAAATGGAAACCAAACAGATAAAACGACACAATGAGATTAAAGAATTTGTATTGATCACAAAGTAGTTCTTAGTACCAATTCCTAAAGCTTAACTCATCTTGGCTGAGAGCTCCACTTTGGGGACCTAAGCCCCTAGGAAAAACATAAAAGAAAATTGAAACGCTTGCATATCCTGTTGTTGAATAAGCTCATATTAAATCATCAGGGTGTAATGTTCTATTAAAAATGACAGGTATAATATATTTAGGCTTGAAATAATTTGCAAAATAATACTTAACCCTCAAACGTATAATTGTGTATACATAATGATTACTTGAACTCTGGACATTAGAAGGATCAGAAGGGAACACCGTCTTTATTATATGGCAGAGAAGTTCATTGGGTTGTGTTTTGTTATTAAATTAAAAGCATCGCCGGCCCCCAAGAAGGCTGGAGATGCTGGCTGGTTAGGTGGGACTGTTTGGCCTGTATTAACGATCCTGAATTACCTGATTTTGTTCTTCATCTCCTTTCCTTTTAGGACGCTCTCTCTGAAACCCAGACAGAAGTGCTCATGTTTCCCAACTCCCAGCATGGTCTTAGAAGACAGAAGAGAGACTGGGTTATCCCTCCTATCAGCTGCCCAGAAAATGAGAAAGGCCCATTTCCTAAAAATCTGGTTCAGGTAGAGAAGGAAGTTTTCTATTTCTCTGGGAGCAATTTGGCAGAGAAGGACCTAGATGAAAAAGCGGGGAAAGCCCCAATGTCAGGATCCTTCCTTGATAATTCTATTTGTTTCTGTTTGGTCTTCAGATCAAATCTAACAGGGACAAAGAAATCAAGGTTTTCTACAGCATCACTGGCCAAGGAGCTGACACACCTCCTGTTGGTGTGTTTGTTATCGAAAGAGAAACAGGATGGCTGAAGGTGACAGAGCCTCTGGATAGAGAACAAATTGCCAAGTACATTGTGAGTATCTCTCAGAAGCATGCTAATAGGGGGTCATATCCTTCTAAATTTTTTGGTCAACCCATGTTGGATCCCTAGGTCAGATGCTCTGGACATGTGAGGCTTAATTGGATACCTCTACACCTGTTGACAAGGGGAGATGACAGGAGAGTCTGGAAAAATAGGGGAAGGGGTGTTGATTTTTTTTCCCCATTGGGAATAAAGAAAGGAGAAACCTTAGGATCATACATGAGTTTAGACCCAAGATAACAACTTACTCTTGGGGCTGAAAGTCCCTGACCCAGAGGAAGAGGCCATTTATGATGTTGGGGAGCAAAAGCCATTCCTGGGCCTTGGTAGCAGTGTGAGCTTGCAGAGCTGGTGGGGGGGTAATGCATTGAGGCCAAAATGCAGAAAAATCTGGGAGACACACTCGACTAGAACAGCCAACAGAGGAAATTTTACTCTGCTAGGAACAAGAATGTTTTAGGCCTCTGCTCTTGTCTCTTAGGCCTGGCTCCCCAGCCCTCCTGTGGGAAATGGGAGCTCTCACCTGGTAGGTGTGTTCTGCAGCCCATGAGTCTTTACATATCATGACCTCAACCAGTGTCATGACATCCCTGAAGCAGCAGCACATGTGTGAGAAAAGTTCTCTGCGGGGGGGTGTCCATCCTTGGGTCTTGGAGAGTGGGAGGGAGTGGAGGCCAGCTGGAGTTCTAGTCATACGACTTCTCGCATTTCTTCCTCCTTTTTGGGGCCCAAGTAACCCTCACTTGGCTGTTACAGCTCTACTCTCACGCCGTGTCTTCTAATGGGAATGCAGTGGAAGACCCAATGGAGATTGTGATCACGGTGACAGATCAGAATGACAACAAGCCCGAGTTCACCCAGCAGGTCTTCGAAGGATCTGTCATGGAAGGTGCTCTTCCAGGTATGGCCAGTCTCAAAGAGCTGAACACCCAGAAGGACACTTAGATTCTTTGGACCTCAAAGTGTTGGGACTTGTGTTTGGGGTCAGGTCCTTCATAGGAACAGAACTTCTTTGGAAGCCAGTGAGAGAGAGAGAGAGAGAGAGAGAGAGAGTGTGTGTGTGTGTGTAAGACATCCATTCTACAGAAATGTGTATTATAAAATAGGAGTCCTGGAATCAAGCCCTGCGTCGGGCTTCCTGCTCAGCAGGGAGCCTACTTCTCCCTCTCCCTCTGCTGCTCCCCCTGCTTGTGCTCTCTTCTCGCTCTGTCAGATAAATAAATAAAGTAAATCAGTAAATAATCTTTAAAAAAAAAAAGCAGTTTAAGAAGGGTGCCTGGGTGGCTCAGTCAGTAGAGCATGCGACTCTTGATCTTGGGGCTGTGGGTTCAAGCCCCACATTGGGCATAGAGCTCACCCCGCCCCCCCCAAAAAAGGAGCAGTTTAAGAACCTTCCCTGATTAAGAAACAGATCTTTGCCATTCCTGAACACATTCTTTTTTCTTCCCTGTAAATGTAGCCACTGCCCTGACTTTGGCAATCATTCCTTTGCTTTCCTTTATCATGTGTATATTTACCCCTCAGTAATACCCGTTTTTTTTGCATGTTTTCAAACTTTGTACACGTGGAATCACACTTCACCTGTATTTCTGGTGTGCTTCTCTCACTCAGCTTTATGTACATAAAGTTCTTCATGTTGGTGCCCATAGCAGCCCAAGGTCATTCATTCGTTCTCATTGCTGCATCATATTCAGTATTTTTATATTTATATAAAGCACTTTATTCCTCTGTTGATGGGAATTGAGTTTGTTTCAGTTTCTTGTTATTAGAAGTAGTGTTCTCAGAACATTTTTTTAATATATTACCTGATGTGTACACAGAAGGCTTTCTCTAGGATGTATATCCGTGAGGGCAGCTTGCTCGGTAATATACGGTAGGTATACTACTCAGTGTGTCTACATGGTGACAGGCTGCTTTCCAAAGTGGTTGAACCACTTAACGCTCCTACCAGCAGTCAGTATCCTAGAATTGTTAAAGACATTTTAGCTTTGTTGATTGTGCAGTTCTATCTCTGTACAATTTTAAATGGCCTTTCCCTGATTTATTAGTGGGCTAATAAACATTTTCTATGTTGGCTGGCCGTCTGGGTTTCTTCTTTATGACTTGTCTCTTCAAGTCTTTTGCTCCTTTTCCCCTTGGGCTATTGGTCCTTTTCCCGTGGAGCCGTAAGGAATTGTGTCGATGTCGTGGGCACTGGCCCTTTGACAGTCACAGGTATTGTAAGTATTCTCTGCCACCTTGAAGGCTGCGATCGCAAATGACCATTCTCTGTGATGAAGCTGTGCCTGAGAAGCCAGTTGTGGATATTGGTGGGATTTTTTCCTCTTTTCCATCTCATTCACTCAGGATGGGAGACAAGGCACAGTGTTTCAGTTTATTTATTCTCCATCCTCCTCACCTCCAGCCTCCATCCAAAACTGTTGGAAAAGCCAAGTCCTTGGAACACTGCTAAGGGGGTGGAATGCTTTCTTCCTCCCCTACCATTTTGGTAAAAATTTTAGAAATTAGAGAATGGAGGAGCGATAACGTACCATTTCCTGAGGCTCCTCCTTTAACACTCTGGACAGCCGTGTTGACCAGAATCCAAAGTGCAGCTTAACTGAATCTTTCTCTCCCTCGGCATTTGCAGGCACCTCCGTGATGCAGGTCACAGCCACAGATGCGGACGACGATGAGAACACCTATAATGCCGCCATTGCTTACCGCATCGTTGCCCAAGAGCCCCTCCTGCCTAACAGCATGATGTTCACTATCAACAAGGACAAAGGAGTTATCAGCGTGCTCACCACCGGGCTGGACCGGGAGGTCAGGGGTGAAGAGGGTCTTGAGGCTGTTGAGGGCAAATAGACATCAGCTAAATCACATGGACAATGCAAAACTCTGCTGAGGCCGGTTGCCACGTACTGTGTTTATGGTCTGAGCTTTGCATCTGAACAGCTCTCTAGAGGTTTTGTACCTAGAAAGCAGGCTGGCATTGAAGCAGATGATCAAATAAACCATTCCCATGCTCTGGGCTGGGCTTGATGTGGCTGTTGGTCCTGACTCACATGTGTTTGATCTCTGCAGAGTATTCCCACGTACAGCCTGGTGGTTGAGGCTGCTGACCTGCAAGGTGAAGGCTTAAGTACAACCGCAACAGCTGTGATCACAGTCACTGACATCAACGATAACCCCCCCGTCTTCAAACCCACCACGGTAATTCTGCAGACCCCTGGACGGTTTCCAAAGAAAGGGCCTCCGTTGTTTTGCAACTGCTCATGGGTGAACCCTTTGAAAACTTGCCCCATACTAGTGAGCTTTAAAGAAGCAAGCCAAATGGGATGGCAATCTTCTCTGTCATCCTCAGCACAGGCCCTTCTGACACAGGTTTGCAGAGTTGTAAATGGCACCTATGGGCACCTGGCTGGCTCAGTCCGTGGAGCATGCGCCTCTTGATCTTGGGGTTGTGAGTTCAAGCCCCACATTGGGTGCAGAGATGAGTAGCGTTTTTTGTTTTTTTTTATTTTTATTTTATTTTTTTTTTAAGATTTTATTTATTTATTCATGAGAGACAGGGAGAGAGAGAGAGAGAGTGAAGCAGAGGGAGAAGCAGGCTCCCAAGGAGCAGGGAGCCCGATGCGGGACTCGATCCCAGGACCTCGGGATCATGACCTGAGCCGAAGGCAGATGCTTAACCATCTGAGCCACCCAGGCGCCCTTGTTTTTGTTTTTAAAGGCACCTTTTGAATTCATGTCCTCATGTTGTACATCTTGGTAGCAAATCTTGCCAGGTTTTGTTTATTCACTGAACAAATACTTCTAAGTTTATAACACAGGAATTGTGTTATACACTGGAGATATTATCACAATAAGACAAAGATTCTGTTCTCAATGGAGTTGATAGTCTAGCTAGGGAGATGTTTTGACAACCTGTACAAATTATTGTGTACAATTATATTAAAAGAAGATGAGAAGGTATTAAAAGCCACACGATAAAGCTCTTAATAAATCTTAATATGTTCGTTAGAAATAAGCTCAGTGGTTAGTAACAGAGATTTGACTCTGCCTTAAACAAATAGGGTAGACTTTCTCTTGTGGCACAAAAAACCTAGAGCTAGAGTATCTACACTGTTAACGGAACCTCCTCGGTCTTGCTGTCCCACCATCACTGGTGCATGGCTTCCATCCTCGGTGGCCCCTGTGCTTCCTTCAGGAAGGAGGCAAGGGCATGGGGAGCAAAAGGCATTGCTGCTAAGTCAAGGCCTCTCACTTCTGTGCCGACTCCTCCCACAATTTTCCTTAACCTCTTATTAGCAACTGCTGTCTTAGAAGATGACCGGAAATAAAATATTTTGTTTGGGCACATTGTTGCCCCCAACAATATAGTTCGTGAAGAAGGGGCGAGTGGTTATTTACTAGGCAATTAGCCGTGCCTGCCCCCCTAACCCAGGTATTGTGAGTACGAGAAGGCTTCACAAAGCCTAGAACATTTATAGTAAGACGTGAAAGGCCTTGTCTGAGGCCTCTGCATCAGCATTCTAGAGACCAAGTAGAAAGCCTGCGCTTTGGGTGAACGCCCTGATCTCTGCATCTAGACTACTTCCAGCCTGCTCCTTACCTGCAGGTCCTGGGCCTGAGCTGCAGTCTCTAGCCCAGCCATCCCTGCCGCAGACCGGCTGCCCCCGCAGCCCATGGCCTTCTATCCTGCCCATTTTTTCTGCCTAATGGGCTTCTGTGCAATTTGTAGTTTTTCTATAAATTGACCCTTGTATTAGTAGAGCCTCTAGGAGATTTTTGTTCGAAACCAAGGACCTCCCTTCAGCTCAGAACAGGTTTTTCCCTTGATTCCAGCCCAAAGTTTTACGTACCTTTCTAGTTTACTCAATAAATTTGTGGATGGCTTTACTCCCTTCAGTATTTTACATTCTTAGTCCTCTGTTCGCTTTACGTCTCAAGAAATGGTGAAAGGTACATCAGTCTAATAAAATATGAAATAACCATGATAAAAAAAATAAGACTTGAAAGGAGGTTGTCAAATGTGGGACAGGGGACAGTGGAAGAGTGTTCTAGGCAGAGGGATCACCATATGCAAAATGCCCTGAATCAATAAAAAGTTTTCAAGAACTGAAAAAACAGTCTGTGTAGTGAACCAAAGGAGGTTGGGTCCTACAGGACCTTGTAGATGGAGGAAAGAATTTTAGAATTTATCCTGAGTGTAAGGGGACATCATCAAGGGTTTTAAGCAGAGGACTATACTGACCAGACTTCTGTTTTATGGAAATCATTGGTACCACTGGGAATGATGGAAGAGGAGGGGAGTAGTGAGTGGATAAGCAACAGTGTCTTGAGTTTGATTAAGATCACAGTCAGCAACTGGGCCAGAGTGTGCTGAGGGGCTCAGATAGCCAGGTCCTTAAAAAGCCAACTCAGGTAGTCTTGAAGGATGATGCACCTTGAGTAGTATTGGCTGCTCCCCCAACAGGAAATAGGGGCTCTACTGGTGGAATGGGTACTTCCTCCAAGACTCTCCTTGAATCTTGGGCTCAGAAAGGATTTCTTTAGCCCTTAATCGACCTGGCTCATCCATTAGGTGTCAGGATGTCATAAGTGACCCATCTTTTCCTTTGCTCTTTAGTACCAGGGGCGGGTGCCTGAGAACAAGGCTGACGCTGAAATCACCATACTCAAAGTGACTGATGACGATGTCCCCAATACCCCAGCATGGCAGGCCGTGTACACCATATTGAACAATAACAATGAGCAATTTGTTGTCACCACAGACCCAGTAACCAACGACGGCATTTTGAAAACAGCTAAGGTTTGTATGGTGCCTGGCAAGATGCAGAAACCGACATCTCCGCTAGCTGCCCACTCCCTTGTCCCTTGGTGTCTTCTAAGAAGTAGATTAGCATGGCATTGGTGGGCTAGGGTTGGGCAGCTTTCCCAGGTTCTGGTGGGCCATTTGGGGTTTGCAGCAACTCTTTAGGCGCATGTGAGACGCTCCTACGCAGCTTCTTGAAATTGAGGAGAAAGAAAGTACCATCTGTTTTAAAAGACTTTCTCCCTGAGACATTTGCCCCATATATCCATTTTGCAAATGAGAGGAAAAATGGCTTACTGGTCTCTGCCATTTTGCTGGATTATTTTAGAAGTGGGACAAATGACTTTGAAAGATGTCTTGGAAACCTGAAAACTAAGAAGTTGGGTGATTTCTTTGTTGAAGTTAGAGTTAGTGGATCTCTGGATTAGCCCCCAAACTTAGACTTCCTTATTGAGCAAGTGAGCAAAACCATCCATCCTTGCATCACTTACTGCATAACCTTATCTCCTACTGAATATTGGATGTCAACATTTTCTATGCTACCAACAAAAGAAAGAAGCCAGTAAGATGAGCCCCTACCGTACACAAAGTCCCTCATAAAAGTTCCCAGTTTATTCCTTACAGCAACTCTATGAAGCAGTTCCTTTTCCTATGTATTTGGGTGTGGAAACAGATCCAGAAGTGAATTTGCCTGAACCACACAGCTAGGAAATGGCTCACCTGGGCTTTGACCTTGTTGTTGGCTGATTCTGAACTTAATGTTGTCACTAAACTTGAGATCATTGTGGTCAGAAGCAGGGTCTTCTGTCCATCTGCTGTCACATGGACAACACGTCACATAGGATATCAACATTCTTACTGGTCTTAGATAATAAATGACTTAAGGTACTAGTGTTTGTTCGCTGGGTTTTGCTGTTTGAGGCTTCACGTACATAGTTCATTTTTATTCTTCTGCTAGGGTTCTCGTCTTGAATATGGTTGCCTGTTAGCTTTTGAAAAACATCCACGGCCAGGCCCCACCCTCAGAGATTATTGTTTGCTGGGTTAGGGTGCAGGCCTTCATTTTCTTCAGAATTTCTCAAGTTACTTCTTCCTAACACAGCTAGATTGGAGAACCATGAAGATATTGCTGGTCAACAGCAATAGTTAAGGATGTAATCTTTTTTTTTTTTTTATACTAACATAAAATATATTTTTTAACTCCTTTCTTTTTTGCTCCTTAGGGCTTGGATTTCGAGGCCAAGCAGCAGTATATTCTGTACGTGACCGTGGTGAATGTAGCCCCGTTTGAGGTCATTCTCTCCACCTCCACAGCCACCGTCACTGTGGACGTGGAGGATGTGAATGAAGCCCCTGTCTTTGTGCCTTGTCCAAAGACAGTGGAAATACCTGAAGACTTTGGCGTGGGCCTGGAAATCACATCCTACACTGCCACGGATCCAGATAGTTTTATGGAACAGAGGATAACGTAAGTATGAGGATTTTTCAACAGTCTTGCAGCAGCTGGGTGTGTGTGTGTGTGTGTGTGTGTGTGTGTGTGTGTAAAATATTTAGTTCATAGCATTTTATCATTGTCTGTGCAAGACCCTTTTCTTGTTTGGCTCCCCCCCGCCACATTCCCCACATCTTTTCCATTTCTTCTATAGCCAGCCATTGTATATTTACTGTGCTTTCCTCTCTTCGGGTTCATGCAGTGAGGCAGGAATGTGGTTTTAATTGACATACATGGTGTGTTATAAGTAGCTCACTATTTTCTCTCCTTTTAAACTGGAAGGTGACTCTATAGTCTAAATCACACCCACACATGTTGAAAACACATGAGCAAACCAACAGCAACACCCTGTGACCATGTATGACAAATAATGTCCTTCATCTTTTGAGGGCTGGATTTGACTAGGGAAAAACAAGTAGAGCACAAATCCCAACTTGACGCACGTGTCTTGTTAGTAATGGTGTGATTTCCAGGGGTAACAGGGCTTGGCCAATGTGCCTGCTTCCTCTTCTCAGAGAGGTTCTGACCTCTTAACATCTACTCTAGAGGAAACTGTAACAATGAACTATTTAGGGGTGCCTGGGTGGTGCAGTCCTTGGGCGTCTGCCTTCGGCTCAGGTCATGATCCCAGGGTCCTGGGATCGAGCCCCGCATCGGGCTCCCTGCTCAGCGGGAAGCCTGCTTCTCCCTCTCCCACTCCCCCTGCGTGTGTTCCCTCTCTTGCTGTGTCTCTCTCTGTCAAATAAATAAATAAAATCTTAAAAAAAACAAAAACAATGAACTGTTTAGAAAGAACTACAAATCTGGAGTAACATCTTGCTTACTAATTGAGTGTGTTCCTGTTTTGGGGGGTGTTTGCTTTAACATCAATGCTTTTTACTTATTAAACTTCAAACAAAAAGAGTTTAAGTGTGACTTCAACTTGTAAGGTTATTCTGGGGATTTTTTTTTTAAGTTTTTATATATTTGAGAGAGTGAGCACGAGCAGTGGGGAGAGGGAGAGGGAAAAGCAGACTCCCCACTGAGCAGGGAGCCCGATGTGGGTGGGGCTCGATCCCAGGACCCCAGGATCATGACCTGAGCTGAAGGCAGCCGCTAAATCGACTGAACTACCCAGGCACCCCTGTTCTGGAAATTTTTTTATGCTGATTCTGTCCTGAGTGAAAAAGCTCCTGAATACCTGTGGACCGCGCATGTGCCACACACACACACCCACACCCACACCCAGCTAAACATGGGGGGTAGGTAGTGATCTTGAAGGCTGCTAGAACTGAGTCATTAGGTCAAGGATGATGGAGAAATTTTAAATGGAGGCTCATAGCACCAAAACCTTCTGATTGTTTTTAACATTTACTATTAAATAAAAAAAAAAGCAAGGACAGTGCTACATGATGTGCTACTTGATGTGATCAGCAGCACGCACCCGGTGCCACTAAGGAAATGTTTTTATGGAGAAAACAAAAGTTGGGACAGAATGTAGTTCAGCATGATCCTGGAGTCCCGGGATTGAGTCCCGCATCAGGCTCCCTGCTCAGCGGGGAGTCTGCTTCTCCCTCTGCCCCTCCCCCCTCTCATGCTCTCTCTCTCGCAAATAAATAAGTAAAATCTTTTTTAAAAAATAAAGATATATTTATTTTAGAGAGAAAGCGCAGTGGAGGAGGGGCTGGAGAAAGGGGAGAGAGAATTTCAAGCAGAGAGCCCGAGGTGGGATTTGAACCCATGACCCTGAGATGAAGACCTGAGTTAAGATCAAAAGTCAGATGCTTAACCGACTGAGCCATTCAGGCACCCCTGGTAAGATGTGTTTATAATCAAACTTGAAAAGTAGAGTGGAAAACTGAAGACAGTATTGTAGGGTTTTTGTTCAGTGATAAAGTGTTGGAGTGTATGGTTTCAAGGGTGGGTTGACATCTTAGCTTGCAGTAGTGAAATGGGTAGTTCAGAGCTTCTCTTTGAGGGGCACCTGGGTGGCTCAGTCGGTTAAGCATCTGCCTTCGGTTCAGGTCATGATCCCAGGGTCCTGGGATCCAGCCCTGCGTCAGGCTCTCTCCTCAGAAAGTCTACTCCCTCTGCATTCTCTCTGTCTCTCTCAAACAAAATCTTTACAAAAAAAACAAAAAACAAAAAAAACTTTAAGCAAGTACAGGGACCAAGTCTTACTAGTGTGTGTTGAAGCCCTTACCTCTGGAACAAAGACCACTCTATGTGGTTCATGTCTTTGCACTTGTAAAGAGGTGAGGATGTACCCACAGGTATCCAAGGCCCTTTCATCCTTAGGTTATTTGTTTCCTTTTCTGAGTCTTCCCATGACCTCGGCAGATGACTGGGCACTCTATCTCTGTTTTTCTTTTTCTTTTTAAAGATTTTATATATACAGAGCACATGGTACTGGGAGGGCAAAGGGAGAGGGAGAGGCAGACTCCCCTCGGAGCAGGGAACCCAACCCGGGGCTTGATCCTAGGACCCTGAGATCATGACCTGAGCTGAGCCGCAGGCAGATGCTTAACCGACTGAGCCACCCAGGCATCCCTATCTTTGTTTTTCATGCCTTTGTTCTCTCGGATTGAATGTTTCTGGTCCTCCTAATAAGGTGTCGCTTAACAGGATTTTTTGAGTAAAACTTTTTTCTTCCTCTGTAAGACGGGAAGGAACTTGAGCCTCTCTGGCACCTGCCAACAAAGGCCAATGGTACAACCCACCCTCGGGCCACTGTGTGAACCCAAACCTCATAGTGCTCATGGTGGGGGTGCTGCGTGGTATGTTACCACCATTTGAGAGCTACTGTACCCCTTGGGGAGCTGGTCTGAAAGAGTTTTGCTTTTAAAAACACATAGGATCATAGTATTCGTTGCTTCAGGCAAGAATTGTCCGTAGATGTTAAATCTCTTGGATGAAAGTCAGTTGGTGAACAGGATATTGTCACATTTTCTCCCTTCAGGTCATAGATTAATTACCAAGAGAAAAAAGGTACCTTTGCTTTAAAGAGATCTGGTTGCCTGTCCCCTTACCCAAGTGATTGAAGTGAACATCACCATGAAAAGAACAGCTGTCATGTGCCTCCTAATGCGATTGATACACTGAGGACACACGTCACCTCCACACTGTTCTTGCTTCCTCTTCCTTTGCATAACTTGAAACTACTTCGGAGGGAGGGGCGCCGAGGTGCTCAGTTGGTTAAGTGTCTGGCTTCAGCTCAGATCATGATTTCAGGGTCCTGGGACCGAGTACCGTATCGGGCTCCCTGCTCAGCGGGGAGTCTGCTGCTCCTTCTCCCTCTGCTTCCCTTCTCCTCTCTGTCTCAAATAAATAAAATCTTCAAAAAAAAAGTAAATAAGTAAAAACCACAAAACTACTTAGGAGGGAATAATCAGACAACCCAAATTGAGGGGCTTTCTACAAAACAAGTGAACTGCACTTTACCTTTTTTTTTTTTTTTTTTTAAGATTTATTTACTTATTTCAGAGAAAGAGCGAGCTTGGGGGAGGAGCAGAGGGAGAGGGAGAAAGAAGCTCAAGCAGACTCCGTGCTGAGTATAGAGCCCGATGTAGGGCTCGATCTCACGACCCATCATGAACTGAGCAGAAACCAAGAGTCAGGTGCTTAACCGAATGCCCCACTCAGGCACCCCTGGCCTACACTTTCCAAAAAGTGTTGAGAAAGAAAAGAAAGGCTGAGGACCAGTTCCAAATTAGGGAAACATGATGTCTAATTCTGGATGGATCCAGAATCTGGGCAGGGATGTTCTGGAGGACAGTTTTGTGAAAATTGACAATTTAAATACGTGCCATGGGGCACCTGGGTGGCTCAGGTCATGATCTCGGGGTCCTAGGATCGAGCCGCGCATCCGGCTCCCTGCTCCGCGGGAAGCCTGCTTCTCTCTCTGCCTCAGAAAATGCCTCTGTTCTTAGGGGATAACATGGACTGAAGTATTTCTGAGTAAAAGAACATGGTGTCTGCGACTTATTCTTAAAGGGTTTACCCGGTGGGTGAATCCAGGTGAAGGGGACATGGATGGTCATACTTTGCTGTAGATCTGATCAATCAACAAAGAGGAACCTTAGCCTTCTTCAGCCATGTGCCGTTTGCTGTACTATTCTAAGCCAGAGCTTGTGCCATTTCAGGTATCGGATTTGGAGGGATGCTGCCAATTGGCTGGAGATTAATTCAGAATCTGGTGCCATTTTCACTCGGGCTGAGCTGGACAGAGAGGACACGGAGCATGTGAAGAACAACACGTACGAGGCCCTCATTGTAGCCATTGATACGGGTAAGGGTGCCCTTAGTATGTGACTTTTGCTGTCTCACCTGTCTGGCTAGCGTGCTTCGTTGACCCCTACCCTTCTTTGAGAGGCAGGAGTTCATTCTTTTTCTTGTATTCTTAAACAAAGCGTGCAATTTTCGAAAGTACAAGTAATTAGGTCAAGCAGAAGCTCTTTATACCTGAACCGACTCCTTCCCCACAGGAGCCAGACTGCCTGGGTCTAGATCTTCGGACTAAAGCTTATGTCCCTTAGTTCCTCTGTCTGACAAAATGATAATACCCCGTCTGGATTTTGAATGAGTTCGTTTATGTAAAAGTGCCCTAGAAGAGTGCCTGCTCTACAAGGACTATCATAATTTTTATCTTCATCATTAGTAGTGAAATGTGGCTCCTTCCAGACTGTTCTCGTGTATTTGAATACATTTATATGCATATAGAAATAGAGTTTATTATAAAGCCACTATCTAGTTTACAGCCTGGTTTTGTTTTTATAATAAAAACCATTGTTTCATACATGTTGATTTAAATTAAAGTTTTAATTTATTTGCTATTATTTATAATATGTCTTAAAGACACAGATCTACTTTGGCACCTCATAAATCTACCTCTTCGTAATAAAATAATGTTATCTGGTTATAGCATACTTGAATCGTTCACGCATTAAAGAACACTGGGGTGGTGTCTACCTGTTCGTTATTGCCATGAGTTTGATAAGGAAACATCCTTGTCCATGCCTCTGTGTGCAAGTATTTCCCTTGGCTGGATATTTAGAAACAGAATTACTGTTAGAAACTGCTTGCTTCCTGGGCTCGTGATGGATTCTATTTCCCTCGCTAACTCTCCAGCTTCCTGAGGTAGTAATTCCAGGCTTGACAATCTAGAAAACACAGCAAGGCAGGTAAGGCCATGATGGGGCTGGACAGGTGGCCCTCCATCGCATTGTGATGGTGCTGGGGAAGGATGAGCCTGGCCTCTTCAGTTAGAATCTGAAGCCTGCTCCTGGAGCTGTATTTAGGAGTTAGCAGGTTAAAAGCAGAGAGCGACGCAAGTAAGGCCATGATGGGGTCCCATTCGCAGAATGCTTTTGTCTGAAGGGAAAAGCTAGCCCATGGCTTCAGCTGCACTGGCCAGCTGCTACATGGAAACTATCCAGCCTGGCCTGGAAGTAAGTGGAGGAAATGGCTCCTGAACGTGCCTTGGCAAACTTTCTGTGAAGGAAGGGCCAGGGAGTAAATATTTTAGTGTCTACGGGCCATATGATCTTGATGGCTTTTGCAGCCTAGAAGCAGCCATAGACGATCTGTAAAGGGGGGAATGAGCACAACTGCTTCCTCATTTGCCTGGAAGGCCTTAGTTTGCCGACCCCTGACCTGATAATCATGGCTCAGGTGTGATGGTGCTGAATTATTTCTTTAAGTGTTCCTTTGTGCATGACTCAATACTTTTTTTTTTTTTAAAGATTTTATTTATTTATTTGACAGAGAGAGACACAGCAAGAGAGGGAACACAAGCAGGGGGAGTGGGAGAGGGAGAAGCAGGCTTCCCGCTGAGCAGGGAGCCCGATGTGGGGCTCGATTCCAGGACCCTGGGATCATGACCTGAGCCGAAGGCAGACACTTAACAACTGAGCCACCCAGGCGCCCCAACTCAATACTTTTTAATGTAAGGTCTAAGAAGAAGGAGAATGAGGTTTCGTAGAAAATCTGTTAGCTTCTTTTTTATTTTATTTTATTTGTATTTTTTAAAATATTTATTTATTTGACCCAGAGAGACAGCGCGCAAGCACAAGCAGGGGGAGTGGCAGGCAGAGGCAGAGGGAGAAGCAGGCTCCCCACAGAGCAGGGGGAGCCCGACGTGGGACTTGATCCCAGGACCCCAGGATCCTGACCTGAGCCGAAGGCAGTCGCCTAACCAACTGAGCCACCCAGGCGCCCTGTTAGCTTCTTTTTTAATTAGAAAAAATTTTAAATGACACCTCCTACTTTTAATTCACATGATAAGGTAAAAGAAGATTTAAACGTAAAATATGGCATATGCATACAATGGAATATTATTAAACCTTAAAAAAAGGAAGGGAATCCTGTCACATGTTCAAACGTGGATAAATCTTGGGGGCATTATACTGAATAAAAGCCATGTCACGAAAAGGCAAATACTGTATGGTCCCACTTAAAGTAAGAAAGCAGTCGGATTCATAGAGACAAAATAGAATGGTGGTAACCAGGGGCTGGGAGGGAAGGGGAAGTGGGGAGTTGTCTAATGGGTACAGAGTTTCAGTTTTGCAAGATGACAAGGTTCTGGAGATCTGTTCCACGATAACGTGAATATACTTAACACTGTTGAACCTAAAATGTAAAATGAACTTCAAAATGGTTGAGATGGTAAATTATATGCTGCGTGGTTTGTTTTAACCACGATTTTTTTAAAGGGTGAAAAAAAAATAATCACAGCCTTGCTACCCAGGCATAACTCTTTACAGGTTTGAGATAAGAGTCCTGTGTTTTTTTCTATAATAAACTAATATTGATGGTAATACTTGAGTGTCTATTTTATCAACCCCTGTATGCTAGGTGCTATGTCACAATGTAAAAGAAATGTACATAGAAATGTCCAAGTCTGTTTTTGTTTTTGAAAAGCAACTTGCAGCAATTTAGAAAGCTCAGCCCTTTGATAATGACCTTCAAGCCATAGAAGTTCTGAAAAGGGAGAATTGGTGGGGGGGCAATGAGAAATTCTTGGAGTGCTTAAAATTTAATGGGTGCAGGGGCGCCTGGGTGACTCAGTCAGTTAAACAACTGCCTTCGGCTCAGGTTATGATCCCAGGGTCCTAGCATTGAGCCCCGCATCGCGTTCCTTGCTCAGCAGGGAGCCTGCTTCTCCCTCTCCCGCAGCCTCTCCTCCAGCTTGTGTGCTCTCTCTCTCTCTGTCAAATGAATAAATAAATAAAAACTTTTTAAAAAACTTAATGGGTGCATAAAGGTATGTGTAGAAGAGGGAAGGAGGTGTCCTTGGTGTGAGGTTAATTAGAATAATTGTTGTCAAAGCAGGAAATAAGCATATCAGAGAGCAGCTGGATCTGAAGTGAAGATGCCCCATGATGGGGAGAGCTGATGGCTCCCTAAAGAGCCAAGCCAAGACTGGAATTTGGTCTGATGGGAATCAGTAGAGCTTCATGAGTGTTCTTGAGCTGTGGCATTTCCTATGTATTTTCTCTTAGGTTCTCCAGTTGCTACTGGAACGGGAACCCTTCTCCTCATCCTCTCTGATGTGAATGACAATGGCCCCGTACCAGAACCTCGAAATATGGACTTCTGTCAGAAGAATCCACAGCCTCGTGTCATCAACATCATTGATCCAGATCTCCCCCCCAACACATCTCCCTTCACAGCAGAACTAACACACGGGGCAAGTGTCAACTGGACCATTGAGTACAATGACCAAGGTGGGGACTGGAGTCTTACTTCCGAAACGTTGCTCTGACCCGGTGCTTTCCCTGCTCCTGCCCTCCCCCCTTCTGAAATTCCCTTCTCCACTTCCACGTGTCACCCCTTTTGTTTGATGTGTGTTCATTTGCCCCTTCTACATTTGAGGCATTCTACCAAGTTCCCTTTCCTTTCATGGTATCTGACTCTGCAACGTACTGCCCAGTAATCTATGACCCAAGCAGCTCCAATTTTCTTGACCCTGATAATTTTATTCTAGAATGAGGTTTTTTCCCTCCCCTTGTCCCATCATTTATTTTTGTTGCTTCCTCCAGCCCATGAATCTCTAATTTTAAAGCCGAAGAAAACCTTAGAGTTGGGTGACTACAAAATAAATCTTAAGCTCACGGATAACCAGAACAAGGACCAGGTGACCACCCTAGATGTGTTCATGTGCGACTGCGAAGGGGTCGTCAACAGCTGCAAGAGGACGGCAGCCTACGCTGAAGCAGGCTTGCAGGTTCCCGCCATTCTGGGCATTCTTGGAGGAATCCTCGCTTTACTAAGTACGTACGCCTGGCAAGCGGTTCAGCCTTTGGCTTCTAAAATGGGGGAGCTTTATCCCTTACTGAACAGTTCAGAGAGAAGTTGGCCAAGACTGGAAGGCAGCCCTGTTCCATGAGATCAACAGGAACCCAGTCTTCTATTTAGTTTTTTCAATCCCCCAGGGCAGTGCTTCTCATGCTCAAGTACATACAAATCACCTGCATGAGGATTCTGAGCTGGTGATCTGGGGAGTCTGGGGTGGGGGCCTCAGATTCCACGTTTGTAACCAGCTCCCAGGTGGTGGAGATGTTGCAGGTCCTTGGACCAGCTTGGAGCAGCAAGGCCTTGGGGTCCTTTGCTCATCAGCATGGTCCGAGCTGTCCCGCTCACCACCACCACTTCTGCTTCCACATTCCAAATTCCATCCTGGAGAAGGGATGACAGAGAAAGTGGAAAGCACGTATCTGGAGATGACACAAATCACCTTCATTCCCATCCCACTGGCCCAAACACAGCCACACCTAGAATTTCCCACTTGAACTGGATGGCCATGTGCCCATTTAAACCTTGGCAGAGGATGGGGGTGGAGTGTAGGGTGAACAGTGAGTATTCAGTGGCTAAAAGGACACTGGGGGGAGCTATGGCAGTTCTACCATAGTCCTTCAAACTGATAGAGACCACCTAGAGACTGGTCCCTAGGGTTGACACAGATGCTGTGATGGTTTCTAAAAGCTTGTGATGGCAAGTTCATTAGAAAAATTCCAAAGATGGTCTATAAATTAGGGGCTGGAAAGGGTGGTCCAGGTCATGAATGCCTTTGTGATCAGACGATGTGAGTTGTCCCTCAAGGATGTGAGTTGACGCTCAAGGAAGGTGTAGGATGGTTGGGACGGAGGCTGGTGGCATCCAGATGGTCAGAGGGGCATTTGTGAGGGTTCCCACGCTAGTGAAGGCACAGAGAGGAAGACTCGATCAGACTGTGGAGGGCAAAGAGGAGGCCGGCGTGGCTGGAGTAGAAGAAAGTTCTTGGAGCAGTGGCATCACTCGGGTTTCAGTTTAGACTCAACACAGATGTTCTTAATCCTGCTGCTTTCTGCTCCAGCAGATTCATTCGCTCCCGCCCTCTGCTGATTGGGTCCCCTCAAAGCTGAGAAGGAAAGGGAGAGTGTGTTGTTCAGAATTCAGTGAGCTTTCTGGACCTCTGTTCCTCAGGGTTCACCTGGCTTAATTGCCACTGTAGGGTGAGGTGAATTCACCTTCCTCTGCCATCATCATGGCTGGGGTCATGCAAGCCCTGCCTGCCGCCTTCCTTCCTACTCCAGTTAGATTAGACGGGGCCAGTCAGCTTTGGGGACAGCAGTTATACTAACTAGTACTTTCATTCTAAGGAAAATATTAAAGATTGTCGTTACACTTAAAACAATTGACTTTTGAGTAATAGCCTTACCTCAATGTGTTTGGGATACATTTTATTAGGCACAGAAGACAAGAGCAGCACTGCAGAATGTTCAAATGTGGAACTGTATTGAAAGCAGGAGCAATGCCAGCATTCAGACTTGCAACTTCTTCCTTGTGGGCAAGCGTAGAACTTACACTTCCAAGATGACACTAGAAAAATGCCAGGATATGAAGGTTTTCATGTAGACCCTCAATATTTGGTTGCTTGCTTTGTGCCAGGCTTTACGGGAATCCCACTGGGAATACTGAGGTTGTGGTACAGTGTGTGGGGCAGTATTTCCTGAAGTGATAACAGTATCTATTTTGGTTACTTTCCTTTAGGTGACATTTAAGTAATGTTTGATAAGTAGTATCTTCTTGGAAATGATAACCTGCTTTTAGTTGCTCAAAGCTCCATGTGGATGGTGACTATTTGCATCTTACATGGTCTTCACTACCGTATCCTCGGTGCTAAGACAGGTCTTGGGGCCCACTGAATCGTGGTCAAGGAAGTTAAATTGTTCATCTGAATAAGGTCTTGGAAACTTGATGATTTCAGAAACAACAGGGAGGTTGGGTACTTGTAAGAAATCTTTTCCCCAAGTGTATGCAACCTCTTGTTTCAGTGCAATACTGCTTCAGTAGGGTGTCCTTTAGAGAAACTCGGGCACAAGCACCTATTTAAAAAAAATACTAAATCATATTTTTTTCAGTCACAGTAAATAGTTTAAAGATTTTTAACGATTGTTCATCTTCTCTAGCCTAGAAATATCCCAAGATCAGATCAAAACTTTGGAAATTAAACAGATTTTAAAGCTTGCTTATGTGATTTTTATCTTAAGAGAAAATAATATTACCAGGCTGTTGAATGGTCTGTGTCCCATTCCTTGGAACTGATTAAAAATAATACTCATCTGTCCATCACATTTAGGCTGACCCAGCCCTGCTCACAGACCTTCAGTGGTTCTAGTTCAGAATCAAAGCCAAAGCCCTTCAGTAGTCGCCACATCCCTGCCTCCCTTCTGAACCCGTCTACTTCCTCCCTCGCTCACCCTGCTGACCTCGCCTCTCCTTAGTCAGGGCCATCGTGCTCCTGCCTCAGGGCCTTTGTCCCTAATTTCCTCTGCCTGGAGCATTTTATTAGCTCAGATTCTGGGAAATGACTGATTGGTTTAAGTCCAGTTAAAGACCACACTTGAGTTCCCATGTACTTGTCCAGGATGTTACACTGCACATACTAAGTTCGGGTGTGAGAGTGTCCGCACGCAGGTTGTCTGGCAGCCATCTGTCCAGTAGGCAGGGCCGTGGTGCTCTGTGAGAGCTGCTTTTTATGGCTTTCTTGACCTGTGGCTCCCCTCGTTCTCTGTCCCCCACCCCAGTCCTGATTCTGCTGCTTCTGCTGTTTGTTCGGAGGAGAGGGGTGGTCAAAGAGCCCTTGCTACCCCCAGAAGATGACACCCGGGACAACGTTTACTATTATGATGAAGAAGGAGGTGGAGAAGAGGATCAGGTACATTTTTAAAACCGTGATACATGGTGCGCCTGGGGGGCTCAGTGGTTAAGCTTCCTCCTTCGGCTCAGGTCATGATCCCAGGGTCCTGGGATCGAGCCCCGCATCGGGCTCCCTGCTCAGCGGAGAGCCTGCTTCTCCCTCTCCCACTCCCCCTGCTTGTGTTCCTTCTCTCGCTGTGTCTCTGTCAAATAAAATCTTGGGGCGCCTGGGTGGCTCAGTCGTTAAGCATCTGCCTTCGGCTCAGGTCATGATCCCAGGGTCCTGGGATCGAGCCCCGCTTCCCTGCTCAGGGGGGAGTCTCCTTCTCCCTTTCCCACTGCCTGCCGTTCCCTGTGCTTGTGCACGAGCGCGCTCTCTCTCTCTCTCTCTCTGTCAAATAAATGGATAAAGTCTTTAAAAAAACAACAACAAAAAACTGTGATACAAAGCTAAATGGCGATCTTTTTATTTGGAAGAAGCAATGATTAGGAGAAGGTAGACCTTTGAAATAACATTGTTCTTTTCAGCACCCAGATGAATGAACAGAGGCCAAGGGCAGCTAAGTAACTTGCCCAGTCACACAGGTAGTAAGCAGGAGAACCCCAGGTAGTCTGACTCCAGAGCCTAGTCTCCCTGTCACTGTTCTCAGGATACAAACTTCAAATTATCTTCGACATACGGCAGCTACTTTGTAATATTTTGTTTCACTTGAGCTTATAGGTATGCTAAACTTTTTTTTTCTTATTGTACATGTTAGGGCTTCTTTAGGCCTTCTTTATCTTCCCTGATTTTAAAGATGGTCTCACCTTAGCCTAGAGTTTTCTGGAGATTTTTTTTAAAGTAATCTCTTTGCCCAATGTGGGGCTTAAACGCATGACCCCGAGATCAGGAGTTGGATAGTCTACTGACTGGGCCAGTCAGCCTTTTGGAGAATTTTTTGTGAATGTGTATTCTATTTAGAAAGGGAACCTCGGGGGGTGCCTGGATGGCTCAGTCCTTAAGCATCTGTCTTCGGCTCAAGTTAGGATCCCAGGGTCCTGGGATCGAGCCCCGCATCAGACTCCCTGCTCAGCGGGAAGCCTGCTTCTCCCTCTCCCACTCCCCCTGCTCATGTTCCTTCTCTCGCTGTGTCTCTCTCTGTCAAATAAATAAATAAAATCTTAAAAAAAAGGGGGGGAACCTCGGGCCCCATCTCAGAGTTCTGCTTTGACTCTGGCCATGCATGAGCATACTTGCTGAGCTCTCTGGTCTGGAAGAACAGCCATTGATTAGAATTTCAATGCCTGCTTTGTACAATGTATTGGGTACAGAGAACTGTCCTTCAGGCATTTGTGGGATAACTGCTGATCTCAGCTAGTGTCTTAGTCCGTGTGGGTTGCTATAACAAGATGTCACAGACAGGTTGCTTAAAAACCACAGAAGTTTTTCTCATGGTTCTGGAGGCTGGGATGTCTTAAGATCGAGGCACCAACAGATTTGGTGTTTGGTGGGGACCTGCTTCCTGGTTCACAATCAGCCATAATCTCAAGTGCACTCAACACAGCAGAAGGGGAGTTCTAGCGTATCTTTTATCAGTGTGCTAATCCTGTTCCCAAGGGCTCCATCTACCCTCCCGACTTGATCACCTCCCAAAAGTCGCACCTCCAAACACCACCATGTTGGGGATTAGGTTTCAGTGTGTGAATTTGGCGAGGGACACAGACATTCAGTCTATGGTAGCTAGACTCTCAAGAACCTGTAGATCAGCTGGGCCTTAGTCACTTAGGTACAGCAGTCCACATCCAAGCCCACAGTTGTTCCTCACAATCCTTTTCTGCTGTTCTTCCTTCTAGTGCTATTTTGGAAACTCTTAGGTTACAAACTGTCATTTCAGATTACATTGGCACATGCTTATAACTACCATGCAATTGAAAGGGCATGATCTGATACCGGAATCTATAATCCAAATATAGCCCTGGATTTGTGACTGTGTTTTGTTTGTTTGTTTCTTTTTGTTTTGTTTTTGGTTTGTTTTTTACTCTTTGCTTTTACTTTTATCTCCAAAGGACTTTGACTTGAGCCAGTTGCACAGGGGCCTGGATGCTCGGCCCGAAGTGACTCGCAATGATGTGGCGCCAACCCTCCTGAGTGTGCCCCAGTACCGGCCCCGCCCTGCCAATCCTGATGAAATTGGAAATTTTATTGATGAAGTAAGTTAGCAAAATCAAAAGCCAAGGTGCAGCTCATCTCTAAACTCAGGAGCAGTTGGTTTGAAAGTGAGGAAAAAGTCTTTAGATTCTTTGCTTTACCACATTTTCTCCTTGCCTGATCCCTGAATGCTATTTTTTATTTGTGTCTCATCTGAATTTCAGAACTAAAAGCACTTCAGACTGTTCCTAGTGAATTTGCAGTATCCATATGGCAAAACCAAGAATTGCTTGTGAGGATTTAGTAGAACTAGAAATGAAACTAAAGAGATTCAGAGGAGATCCAATTTGGTTTCACTAATGGCTCTTTTTGCCCCTGCATCCCACTGCTGGTTGGGATGTGATATTAAATGTGTTATCACAGGTCTACCTAAGGGCCAGAAAAATAGCATCAATTTGTGTAAGTTGGAAAAGCATTCAGCTATGAATTCCAGAAGTTTAAACAGATATGAGGAGATTAACCTCATAAATCCTTGTTCTCGTGTTTGTTGCCACATGATCACAAGATGGCTGCCACACTTCCAGGCCTTGGGTCTGTTATTCCAGTCAAGAAGAAGTAGGAAGGGCAGAGCAGAGGCCGTAAGTCTTTGTTCTAGCAAACTGTTAATGCAAGTAGGGGGTTCATCCTATGTTATTGGCCAGAACTGTCCTTATCTGCAAGGGAGAATGAGAAATAAGGCATTAAGTTAATTAGCTTAGGGTGAGATGAGGACAAATTGGGGGTCTGGATGAGCAAAGAACCAGTAAGTAAGATAACAGTCTGGCAGGATCTATTTCCTTAAACTATGTTACCTGATCCCTTGCTCAGTTACTGGAATGATTTTCAGAGCTTTGATGGTCCAGTGGCCCTCAGCGGGTCTTCATGGTAGAGGCCGGTTTTGCTTTCGCTCCCGTGGGAGTCCTCACCAGGACCTACACAAAGCACAGAAGTGTTTGAAGTGACTAGGCTGGTTACTCTAGGAAGCTGGGAATGGGAAGGGCCAGTTAAAGCGTCCCTTTTAGATAAATCTGAATTCAGGTCCTTTGCTCCAGTCACATGCATTTGTCTGTCATCACAGCTGATAGTAGCTTTTTTTCTTCTTCTTTTTTTAATTACAAAATAGTGTTTGCTACTTATAGTAATAAACTTTGAAAATGTATATAAAGAGGGCGCCTGGGTGGCTCAGTTGGTTGAGCGACTGCCTTCGGCTCAGGTCATGATCCTGGAGTCCCGGGATCGAGTCCCACATCGGGCTTCCTGCTCAGCAGGGAGTCTGCTTCTCCCTCTGACCCTCTTCCCTCTCGTGCTTTCTATCTCTCATTCTCTCTCTCTCTCAAATAAATAAATAAAATCTTAAAAGAAAAAGAAAATGTACATAAAGAAAAAAAAATGCAAGTCCTTTCTTCATGCCCCAACTTACTCTCTAGAGTTAACTGTTAACAGTTTGGCAGTCATCCTTCCAGACCTTTCCAGGTGGAAATGCTATATGGACCAGTATGACCGTCCTCATTTTTTCAGCCTCTGTCCATCCTGACTGGCTTCTCTCCCTTCTACATAAAATGTGTCATTAGTTTAGGGGGAAACATTCTGCATCTTTACCCGTGATGTTGTCTTTTCATCAACAGTATCTTGTCTGTATCCATTTACCTTATTGGTGCTGACTGCTCCTGGTGTTCTGTAGGATGGTTGCGTTATCGTGCATTACATGTTGCTGGAGGCACCTAGAGATTCCTTTCATTGAAAGATCCTCCTGTCTTCCTCCTCCTTTAGAACCTGAAGGCAGCGGACACTGACCCCACCGCTCCTCCTTACGACTCTCTGCTCGTGTTTGACTATGAAGGAAGCGGTTCTGAAGCTGCTAGTCTGAGCTCCTTGAACTCCTCAGAGTCAGACCAAGACCAGGACTATGACTACCTGAACGAATGGGGCAGTCGCTTCAAGAAGCTGGCGGACATGTACGGGGGTGGGGAGGATGACTAGGGGTCTTGAGACAAATGGGTAAGGAGATGGGTCCTTACACCATGTGGGGAAGAGTGCAGGGGTCATGGTTTTCCAGCTCCCTTCACTTGAGTTTCTGGGGAAAAGAGACTGCTCAGTGATGCAATTAGGATAGTTAGTATTACCACTTGATAGATCTAATCTGTGTTTTGACCTGTTCTTTGAAGCTTTTTTTCTTTCATCATTCTTTAAATGGTGATGCTGTCCAAAAGCCACCCACACGTTTAATATTTCAAAAGAATAGCTTCAGCCTCCAGAAGGTTCTGCTAGCAACTTGGAGGTTAGGTTCTGCTAGCAATTTACAGATTTCCTTACACGCTTTTGTCTCATTTTTTTTAAAGAAAGGGGGGACTCAACTACCCTATTGTTTGTGTGTGTGTGTGTGTGTGTGTGTAATTATTTTTAATTTGTGTTCTTTTTTTCTCCTATCACTGCTCTGGTGTCCCCTGTTCTAATACCCACTTTTACTCCTTCTGAACTTCTATTGCCCCAGACAGGAGTTCTCTGATGGAGAAATTGTTGGGCCATTTCAGGATAGGAGACTTGGTCTTAGCCTGGCCAGAGTGTGACTGGGTATCGTGGACTCGTAAGACCTTTAATGGTTCTCCTTTTTTATTTCCTAAGTACATAACTTGAAATTGGTGTCCATCCATTTACTTGTTCTGCGTAAATATGTTTGTTATGTGTATGTCATTATTGAGGTACTTTGGTTCTAAATAGGGAGCACCGAGCAGAAAAGGTGAGTTTTCAGGTGCCACTCAACTTCTAATGTTCATCACTCAAAAGAGTGATCTCTTTCGACACTTAATGATGGTGCCTAAGTGCTGCAGCCAAAGACAGAAGGAGGTTTGTCACAGCTGAGGGCAACATGAGAAATGTGCTTGGAGGTGGCAGGAGAGATGTATCATTGAGCCTGGCAGTTTAGCAAACTGAGGCTGAGGATGATTGAGGTGGCTCTTACCTCTAGTCCTGAAAATTCTGAAGAGTGGAAGAATCTCAACATGTGTGTCTATCAGGATCCTCAGGCCAGAGTTTGTACCTGAAGCCCAGAATCCCCAAGTGGCTGCTTTTGTTGATGCCTACAGAAAATGCTGGCTGATCTGGACACATCTACCCCAAATTCCAAGAGATCGTAGAAAACCGAGGATATTAGGAAATCCAATTTTTTCCCCTTAGGAGCAGGAAGAAAATATGGCACTAAAGGGTGCTAGCAAGGGGAGGGTGGAGAGAACTTTGATTTGGATCTTCTTTTAATTGAAATGAGAACTTCAAGAAACTTTTGACAACCACAGAAAATAATTTTATCTAAATTGCTTTACTGTCTGTCAGCTGTTTTTCAAAGGAAAAAAAAATCATTCCTGCAATCACTTCTTGGAATTCTCTTGATTTTTTAGCAATTTAAACTCTAATGTAGTCTTGTGTAGAGAATGTTACTATAGTTTTGAGTGTATACATGTGTGGGTGCGGATAATTTTGTATTTTCTTTGGGGGTGGAAAAGGAAAACAATTTAAGCTGAGAGAATTCTTAAATATTCATTTTTATAAATTTTATTAAAGAATTTTGTTAAACCAGTGTCAAACACTTGTTTTATTTGGTCACACCACAATTCCAGGCAAGACCAGTGGTAGTTGAGCTCACTCAAAATGTGAAGAAGGAAGCTTCGTGTTGAAATGACTGCTCCAGAACTTGGTGTAATTCTATTGCAGGCAGAGTGCAGGAAACTGCATTTAAAAAGTCACTTTATTTGAAGCCTATCTATCCATTTGGTATGTGGAGAAACATTTAAAATTCTCTTGTCAATGGAAAAACTGTGGGCAGAGCCAAGGGACCAAAATAGAGCCTCAGACAACATTCAGTCGGTCAGCAAAGTTTATGTAGTACAGCGGTCCACCATCAGGGAAGACTCTGGACCCCTCCCCCAGGGGACATTGGGCAATTTCTGGAGATACATTGATTGTCATGACTGAGGAGGTGCTACTGGCCTCAAGTCAAGGCCAGGGATGCTGCTAAATGTCCTGCAGTGCATGGGGCAGCCATGTGCAACAAAGAACCATCGGGCCCAAAATGTCAGTGGTGCTGCTGAGAAACCCTGTTCTGTGACTTCACTCTGCTGGAGGGGTATAATTGTATATGTGTATGTGTGTGTGTGTATATATATATTTTTTTCTTTAATGGTGGTGAAATATATAGATCTTCGACTTTGATGTGGTTACAGGCCAGTAAATTATAAGTTGAGAATACGTCAAAAATGCATTTAATATGCCTAATCCACCAGACATGATAGCTTAGCCTAACCCACTTTCAGTGTGCTCAGAACACTTACTTCAGCCTAGAGTGAATAAAATCATCTCACACAAACCATTTTATAATAAAGTGTTGAATAGCTTGTGTTATTTATTGAATATGGACAGTGAGAAACCGAATGGTTGTGTGTTGGTTGTTTACCTTGCTGATCACAGGACTGGCAAGCTGTGCCTGCCACTGCCCAGGCATCACGAGAGTCCATCCATATTTCACTAGCCCAGGAAAAGATCAGAATATGAAGTATAGTTTCAACTGAATGTGTTACTTTCAAGAGTACAGTTCAGTGATATTAAGTATATCCAAAATGTATAACCATCACCTCTGTTTCCAGAACCTCTGCATCATTCCAAACAAATTCTATAACCATGGGCAATAAGTAACTCCCTGTTCCCTCCCCTCCCAGCCCTGGTGACTTACATTCTGCTTGCTGTGGTCATGAATTTGACTCTGCTAGGTATTTCATGTAAGTGGTGTCATGTAATACATGTCCTTTTAAACTTGGCTTGTTTCACCTGGACTCATGGTTCCCAGGGTATTGTAGCACGTGTCAGGACTGCACACTTCATTGGGTATATATGCACCACGTGTTACTTATCTGTTCATCTTGGGTTGTTTCTGTCTTGTGGCTATTGTGAATGATGCTGCAGTGAACACTGGCATACAAAAATTTTGAAATTCTGGCTGTCTACCCAGGAGTAGAATTGCTAGGTTATATTGGTAGTTCTATGTATAGTTTGAGAAGCTGCCAAGGTATAGACCTAGATTTGGTTCAGGAGCGAAAATTTAAACTATAGAAGACTTTTTTAAAAGAGAAGTTGGGCAATTTTTTTAAAAAAGATTTTTATTAGAAAGCACGAGCAGGGGAAGGGGCAGAGGGAGAAGGAGAAGCAGACTCCCTGCTGAGCAGGGAGCCTGAGGTGACATGGGGCTCTCCATCCCAGAACTCTGGGATCATGACCTGAGCCAAAGGCAGTTGCTTAACTGACTGAGCCACCCAGGTGACCTGGAAATTGGGCACATTTTAATACGGATCTTAGAGTAGATGATATTCCTGAAAAAATACTAGTTTTCTTGGGGACATAGTTCACTAGGAGAACCTTATTAGGATATAACTGATGAATTCAGAGATAAAGTTGTTGTGATGTCTGCAAATCAATGGTTTAACAAAAAAGTACGTCAAGAGTGGTAGCACACAGGCAAATGTGACGAAATGTTCATAATGACTAAATCAGGTGAAGGGTATGCAAGTGTTCATGTACTAGCCTTTCAATTTTTTTTTCAGGTTTAAAGTATTCCAAAATAAAAAGTTAGAAATATGGAAGCCAGAAGTAAACCCTTAGATAGTCAAATGATACTCTACAAGGGTGCTAAGACCATTCAGTGAGAAAAGGCAAGGTTTTTTTGACAGTACAAAGATGACCACACACACACACACACACACAGACACACGAGTGTAGCTGACACAATGTTACATTAGTTGTAGGTGCACAACTTAGTGATTTGGCAAATTTATGCATTATGCTACGTTCACAAGTGTAGCTGCCATCCTGTTCTATCGCTAATTGATGTCACTTTTCCTCACACTCTGCCAAAAGGACCGTGTTTTCAACAAACGGTGCTGGGAACACTGGGTGTCTACGTGCAAGAGAATGAAATTACACGTACTGTTACACCATATACAAGAAAGAAACTCAAAATGGATCAAAGACTCAAAATGTAAGGGCTAAAACTGTAAAACCCTCAGAAGAAAATAGACATCATGACGCTGGGTTTGGCATTACTTTGTGCATATCTTACCACAATAAGGTCAGGAAAAAATAAAATACCATGAGGACAAATAAAATGGTTCTATAGAAAATAAAATTAAACCGTTTACAAAGTACCTACCACGTGCAGAGGGCTACACCAGTCAGTAAATGAGACTTGGAGAAAGACAACAGAGAAAGTGTTTGCACGTTTCCCTCTTGCTGGTTCCGCCGGTACTGATGAGGTCTGACGAGGTCTGACACGAGAGCCATGCTGCCTGAGTTCAAATCCTGATTTCTGTCCTTTCCACCTGTGGGCTTAGGCAAATTACTTTATCTTTCTCTACCTCAGTTTCTTTATGTCCAAAGGGAGGATTGGACCTACTTCATAGGATGGTTGTGAACACTGAGTTGATATGTATAAAGCATTTAGAAGAGTGCTTGGCACATGGCAGTGCTTGTTAAATGTGAGCTCTTGTTTTTATTATAGGATAAGGGGTGCAGCAAGGGAGCTTTGGGTCGATGGAATCATTTAAGCAAATGCAGGGTATTAGGAGAGAAAAGGCCAAGTGTTCTGTTTTGGACTGGATTTAGTGGGTCTGATAGAACCACCGAAGTGTTGTGAGCAGGACAACTATGTGATCCAAAGTGGTGTTCTGTGAAGGTGTGTCAGTTTGCAGGGATGATGAGTTGGCCTGGGGAGGGTACCCAGGACAGTAAAGAGCCTCTGGCAGTTGAAATAAGAACGAAGGGATCCAGAATATACCACTGTGTAGGGGTTTTCTTCCGAGACTCCCTTTATCTGCCTAAAAGCAGAGCCCCCCCCCCATCAAATTCAGCAGTCGTAAATCCCCTCCCATGGAGTTTCATAAGCAGGGAGGATTGACTCCTACTACCAGAGATTAGAAATTGGCACTTCAGGATAAGAAATCACCTCAACAGAAGCGCCTGGGTGGCTCCATGGGTTGAGTGCCTTGATTTTGGCTCAGGTCATGATTTTGGGGGTCATGAGATTGAGCCCTGTGTTGGGCTCCCTGCTCAGCATGGAGTCTGCTTGAGATGCTCTCTCTCCCTCTCCCTCTGCCTCCGCACCCCCCCGCTCATGTATGGGCATTCTCTCTCTAAAAAAAAAAAAAAAAAAAAAATCACCTGAACAGATACTGTCAAAAAATCCTATCTCCCATCTCATTTATCTTTTCTTAAAAATCGTTTGTTTTCCGGTAAGTGCCCTTTCTCTATTAAGCTGGAATATAAGCCCCAAATTCTAACCACCTCTCTGAGTCACATTTTTCTGTGAAGGCCCTTGGATGTGAAGAAAAATCTGTCTTTTCTCTCACTAAT